GATTTGGCGGCGTAACAGCAAACGAGAGAGACTGACGACAAGGTCCCGCGAAGCTTCTAATCTAGTGTGCGTCGCTATCTTGAAAATGCGGCCCAGAAGGTTCGAATTTCGAGCATTTAAGGTGAAGATGAACAGGCACTTTCAAGGAAAAGGAAATAGGACGATATGATAAAAGTTGCGTCCCGAGTATGAATAGACATGCACCTTCTAGAAATGTGTGGCCGAGCGTTGCTTGCTCGGCCCTGCGCGCGAAAAATATATAAATATTGTTTTTTATACAGCCTTCTAGGGTTTCACCTTAAAAGATCTCTGACAACCAAAACATTTTTATGGACTAAAAAAGCTTCAAGAGAGCAGAACATAACCATAAATGAACAAAAGGTAAGGGCGCAAACGAGCTGGTGGTGGTTAAACATTTCGACAAAAACCCCGAGACTGGGACAAAAAGGGACGGACAAACACAGTCTCAAACACAGCTGAATTTTATTTGACAAGGAAGGGTGCTTATATAGGCGTCAAATCCTACACAAATCAAAAGAGACGAAGGAAAGAGAGGGAGAAACCTTCACAAACAAAAGAGACGAAAAAAAAGAAGAAAAAATAAAACCCGTGCCACAAGCAGTACAACAAAAAACAAGCATTACAATAGAACTGAAAAGTTTATACAAAAACAAAAGCTAAGTAGAAGGACTAAAGTGCATTAGTCCCCAAGAGACCCCAACACTACAACAGGTCGTTTATACAGAAACAAAAGCAAAGTAGAAGGACCAAAGTGCATTAGTCCTCAAAAAACCCCAACACTATAACAGGAAGGACGCAACGAACCAACGACCAGGAAACAACAAAGCGAAAAGGGTTTTCTTCTTTCTTTTTTCTTCTTTTTTTTCGTCTCTTTTGTTTGTGAAGGTTTCTCCCTCTCTTTCCTTCGTCTCTTTTGATTTGTGTAGGATTTGACGCCTATATAAGCACCCTTCCTTGTCAAGTAAAATTCAGCCGTGTTTGAGACTGTGTTTGTCCGTCCCTTTTTGTCCCAGTCTCGGGGTTTTTGTCGAAATGTATAACCATAAACAAATTTAATCCCGGAAAATTTTAGCTTACGATAGAACCTATCAAACATCCGTGTCCCCCTCTCCTAAACCCGGGCCGTTGGCAAGATCATTTTTCAAAAATTCGGAGACATTGCCAGTTGTGTGTCTGACAAATAATAATGACATCCAAGGAATATCTTTTACTACAATTGTAGGCACACAATGCCACTGATTTCGAAATGTAAGAAATCCCAGAGCCCAAAAGTGTTGATTTATTTACTTATAGAAAATAAATAGTTCTTCCGGGTTCTGAGGTTTTTTGACGAGGCATCGCACGTCTCCTTTTATTTTAACGGACCTTCCACGTCTCCTTTTATTTTAACGGGCCTTCTTTCAGTCAGCTTTTGTGTATTCGTACACCCCCTCTCCTGGCCGTGCTTCCCGCTGTCGCCATTTTTGCAGGGCGAAGTTCCGGTACACCCATATTATAAGCACCCACCTTTGCGCAAATTTTTTTTTTTTGGCCATACTTGTTTGCGTTTACGCTAGCATGGGTGATAAACGGTAACGAAGATCAATACAACAATACGTTACCAGTGTGTTCTTGCGGACAGAGGCAAGTTGGGCTACCCTTCATATTTGTTGTTCGAAGACAACTTCTTGGACGGCGTTCGTTACTGGAAAAATATCGGTGCTCGGCAGGTGTGCTGAGGGCGTTGAGAAGTAAGGGGACGATGGAAAAATTGATGGGACTCGAAAGAAGTTTTTTTTTTTTCAATGTCGGATATCCTCTAGGATTTTGAAAGAAGATTAGTGGAGGGATCAAGGCTAAAAAAAGCGAAATTTCTAAAACACTCGAGAAAATATTCATGCTAATAAAAGACTCTCAAGCGGAAGCGGAAGGAAAGTTCGCGTACTTAAAATAAAATCTGTATTCTTCATTTGAGTCAAGAACTGAAGCGGCTTATCAAAGAGTCAGAAATTTTACAGCATAACACCTACCAATTTCCCATCGGGGCGCCCGGTATGTCTTGGTAATACATTAATCCATCGAGGAAGTCACATTGTGTTAGAGATCTCAGTATTGGTAAATACCATGTTTGAAATTTTAATTCCTTGAAGTTCTTCTGTCTTTACTTGTGATGATGGAACGTTGCCCAGTTTTAGCTCTTCTTGGAAGTATTGGAAATCAACAATATAGAAATACACGAGCAAGGATATTTCAAACTAAAGCGAGAGTGCGAACGAGCTGGTTCACTACTGACATGGTTAACCAGGAGCGGGATAAAAACGGCACGGGCAACACAAGTCTCCAAACAGAGCTAATGGTTTTACATCCTTAAATAGGCCCACGACCAAGCAGAAGTACACACCAAATAACTAAAAAAGAGAGAAAAGATTGAACAGTTTTAACTATCACAATAAGGGGAAAAATGCACTCAAGGATACAAGCACAAAAAAACCTAGTCCAACATACTCGGTCCCAGGTTACTGTGGGGAGTTAAATTCTTAGTCGCTATCATATTTTGTTGGCATTCGACTGTCGGGGGTAAAGTACTTAGTTGCGCATACTCAGTTCGCAGGCGACCAAGCATACACAGCTGGCTCCCGAATAACAAAGCATAACTCCCCACGTGAACTCGCCACATTACGAGTAGATCTTAAGATACGAAGAAGATTCCGAAGCGGGCGTATGACGTCACAACTACAGACACAAGTCACTAGACATCGTAAAGTGCGCGATAAACCTCCTCCCGTCGCGATTAGTTTAGTTACCAAGAGGAGTTCCGCGCAATTCAAAAGCACATAGAATTCAAAGCCCTTCACACACACACAAATAATCATAATTATAATAATAAAACATACTCGTGAAACAACGTATTTCTGAGTAAATTTGTACTTGTCTTGATCATTCCGATGAGCCTGTCAAACAGAAGCGTTTAATGTGTTTGCAGCGCGTCCGAAGCCACACAAAGCTCTGCGTAACCAAGCATATCGAATCACAACGCGCGCATAATGCACGCACGACACATCCGGAGAGCATCGAGCTCTCCGGGTGTGTCGAAATGATGAAGGCAATAAGAAATAAGGGAAGACACAAAAAAGAGGATGAAGAACAAAACGTCTCGTTCGTCGGCGTGTTTTTTTTTTTTTTTTTGTCCTTCCGTATTTTAAATTACCGTCACCAGCAAGCTCTTCATTTCTAGTTGATCAAGGCAAGTTTACAATTTTGTGCACATGAAGGTGGAAATGTGTTCTCTCTGTCTTTTTCCTACAGTTTGACCTATGATGCTTTAATTATTAATGATACGATCTTAGAGTTTCTTATTGGAAGACTTTTTAGTTGGTTTATTATTCCTGTACGTGTATGTTTTGTTTTAGTCGTCATTTTCAACTCCGCAATAGCGATCACGTGATGACAGTATCAATAAATAAAATAAATGACATGACACGTCGTCTGCAAGCGGAGAAATATCCCGTGCCAAAGCACACAGCGAAGTAGGCGCTGATCGGCCCGTTGGCGGGGGCGAGTGCTCGTGATTGCCGTGATCAATGAAAGGGAAATATAGAAAGAAATTGAGAGAGAAATAAGGAGAGAGTGAGTGTAACGACAGTTTCTGTTTGAAGTTATCCAAGAAGGCAATGGGTATACCGTGTCGCTATCTACGTCATTGAATAGGGCGAAACTTCAAATCAGGCGTTCTAGAAATATTCTTTTTTGCGTGTGTGCAAACAGACATATCTGGAGCTTAGAATATTTGAAACGATTCCTCGAAATCAATTTCAGTCACTTGCAAAAAAAAGAAAAAAAAAAAGAAAATCCGACGTCGGTTTTTTAGTGGTTTTTTAAGGCTGGACCCTATTGGCGACTTGAGCAATCGAAAGCGTCGCTGTGGTCGGCCTGCCACGTTGGGCGAATGCTGAATACGGCGTCAGCAAAGAATTTCTCATCGACGGAAATGAGAGTAATGGAGGAACTTCAATTTTGGTAGTGTTGGTTTCAGAGCGCAAAGATTTCAGGCTTCTACCATGTTAATTACATACAAATACCATCAAAATTTTGTTCGCAAGATAAGGACGTTACGAGGGGGTACTATAGGAGGGCGCCACCAAAATATCTCGCCGCTAATAATGCGAATATGCGGCGAAGTATACTCCGTTGACCTTTAAGCTAAGACTAGAAGCTCCGCCTTCAGCGCGAGCTCGCTGGCTTCCGCAGCGCTTTGGTTGCGCGTGCCTGGGCGTTCACACTTGTGTTAGCAAGAGCAGAAAGCTCGCGCTGAAGGCGGAGCTTCTATTCGCAGTTTAAAGAACCCCTAAAAAAAAAAAAAAACTTTCTTTTAAGCAGTTTGGTCGATACACACGTATTGAGAGATTAATTTTACGCGAATTTTTTGTTTTGATTAGAGCAATAGTGACGGCGAGAGATTTATTTGAAATTCTGCGCGCGAAGTCCATGACGTCAAGGGTCACTCTGAAATGACCATCTCGGTCTTGAAGGCGAAGCCGATCTACCTCTCTTTAACGCGCCCGAAATGCCGAGAGAGGAAACAAGTGGAAAGGAGGTGACTGCCCACTAAATCACGTCTCGCGCCGTAAATATTGTTCAAAATCTTTTTTTCTCACGTAAAATTAATTTTTTGACACCCGCGTCCCAACTGTTAGACTGTTAGACTGTCCCAACTGTTAGACTGTTAAAAAAATTTTCTTTTCAGGGGCTTTTTAAGGGTGAACTACGGACGAACTTCCCCACTGCGTGTTCGCTCTGCACGCGACGCAACAGGTGCCGAAAAGTGACTTGAGAACAGTCACTGTTCTCAAGTCACGGGCAGTATAAACGCAGCGGGGCAAAGCTCGTCGTTTTCTCGCAGCACGTTTGGCCCATAGATTTACGCCCTTAGCGCGAGCAGATTCTACGTAACCTAGAAAAGCCGAATGTTAACTTCTATATACATGGGGTTGGTACGTCACCGGCATGAGCAGGAGCGATGCAGACAATAATAAGCGTTGTCAAATACATTTCCCAAGGTAACGATGTGCATGCGATTGAGCAAACAATAGAATGTGGTGGCAGGATTAATTAAATAATATTCTCGTTTACTGGCAAGCACCTGCGTGCCTTTTGTATAAAGGTACGACAGCGCTATGCAAGGGGTGATTCATCGCAATAAAAAGAAGGGTGACGTACGCACGAAGCTTTATTCACCTGCTGCAGGTGGTAACCTCTCCACGAGAAAAACAATACCGGCCATTGACGCGTACGAAAAGGTCAGAACTATTCTCAGAGACAAAGTTCCGTGGGGGTTGTGAAGAGTTCGAGTGCCTAGATTTGCCAGTAGCTTTGAATGTATAGCTACCAATATATAGTGATCGTGATTATGAATGGCAAAACTTTTATTGTCAAAAACGTTATTTGGCTTTCGTTCGGTCATTGTGAGGTGTTCACATTACAAGCGTAAATTTTACTTGTTTCTTTTAGCGCCCCTTTTATTTTTACTCCTTAAGGTTGTGTGTTTTTATTTCTTTTATCGCCGCTCATACTTAGAACCCGAACCTCTTGTATAAGGACGAGAGTAAACAACAAAGGTCTATAGGCTTCGCACAAATAGCACGTGAAATAGCCATACCAAATTAGGGGCCGAGCCTTGAAAGTTTACATGGTAAAGATGCGCTCAGTTTCCATTCCGTGAAAGTTTGAGATTTTTATATGCAGGCGCGAAATTTTCCGGTTCGTTTTACAGCGTCGAATTCCTATTGCTGTTGTTTTTCAACAGGCTCAGAAAATATCGGCCTAGAAAAGCACGAGTATATTTCACGCAACCTCTAAAGTTCGAAAATTAACTCGTGTATACGTTTCGTAAACCATCGGCATGAGCAGGAGCGATTCTGAAAATAATGAGGGTATTTAAGTACAATCTCCCCGGAAACAAAGCAATTTCAGTTGAACAAACAACAATAAAATGCCACAGAGGGATTTATTTAGAAGTCTTCTCATTAACCAGGAAGCCGTTGCCCTTTGCACGAGAGTACATTAACACCGTAGAAGAGGCGATGCAATAGAATATATGAAAAAGTGACGTAGACAGGAAGCTGCATTCCGGTATTTCAAGAGTCAGCCTTCTTATGGAAGAACAAGTATTGACCAATGAAGGGTTCCTGGAAATCAGCACTATTCTTGGGGGCAACTCAGTGCGGCATTTCTGAATAAGTGAGGAGCGTGAGAGGATATCTCTGATCGGTATTTAGGGTGCGTGAGCGAACGAGCGTAGGTAGCTTTTTGAACAGAACTGGTGAGGCTGAGGTGTCAATGCTTAAAAACTCACGAATACCGAAATGTCAGCTTAAACAAAAAAAAAAAAAAACGGATTTTTTTTTTTATAAGAAAAGCCACCGTCGGTCTGTAAAAGCAGGCGACTACGTCTGTTTTTAGCTCCGTTTTCTCATATGGCGCTACGCTAGATTACAATACAGCTCACTAAATGCTTCGACACCCTTAAAGTGGTTTGGACACGAACATTGAACTGATTGAATATTCTTAAAATAAAATGTTCATAGAGTACTTAGTATCTACACCTAGGTTCGCGATTATTAGAGTTCTATTAGTTATAATCATCAGTTTAGGGATGTTGATCATTCTTGTCTGGCGACTAGGCAACGCTGCCCAGTTAGTCACAACATGGTGCCTTAAAGGGGAACTCCGGCGACTTTTTGAGCAACCCCAACTAACTATATTTTTGAAATCGCCGTCCTTTACTCTTTCTAATATGTTATTTTGTATCGCGAAATTCAGAATAGTTATTGTGAAATCGGCAAATGAAAATGACGCCAAAACGAAGGTTCGAATATACCCGCGCTTCTCATTGCCGTGACGTCACGAATGTGCCGGCTTGCGGTTCGAGCGGGCAGTCTAAAAATGAACTATGCCGAGCATTTCTATCGTGCTGCTGCGCGGGAGCTGGAGCGACTTTCCAAAGCATTCATTTGACACCATAAAACTGCTTGTAATCAGTTGAAAACAAAGTCTACAGCCCAAAGAGTGAACCCCTGCACACTCATGACGTTACTTTTTCAATGTTGCCAGTAGAGCTTTTCACTTTGGAAAACACGATGAGGACCAAAATTGTAAATTGTGTAACTTCGCGAAAAAAAGTTATTTTGTCCAAATATTTGGGTTACTAGTTCGGCGATGTTTGTTGGTGTTTTTGGCAAGTTTTTAGGCAAATCGGGGACTATGAAGAAAACGGCGGAGTACCCCTTTAAGCCACGCGATCATAAAGCTCCCTCATTCTAGGCGCCCCCATGATCGCCCAGCTCGCCTCGCCACGGTACGATCAAAACGGCTCATGCTACACGGCTATTCCGACGCTATTCTCGCTTTCGCCACCCGGTACGCTGACAGGTCTTCCACCTTGCATGCACCTACGAAATTGTCACGGACAATGGCGACCACGGTGAGTTCGTCTGTGAGTCGACGCCGCTGGGGCTGCTCGCCAGCGGGTTGCAGTCAAAACGACCAGCTTCCAACACCTCTTGGTAACAATCACTCTCATAGCTACCGCGATCAGTGTCGAAGAGTTATACTAAGAGAGCGATGCCATAGACGTAATCGTCAGGAACCGGATAGTCGAAACGCGGAATTTAAACGAGGAAGCTGACGTTTGAGACGCTAAGAGAGCTAAGTCTGTGAGTGCATGCTGGGACGCCGCGGGGTGAGCTAGCAACGTCACCAACCCAACTACCAAGGCCACCTTTTCGAATTGCCATGGTCCGAGGGTTCTGAACATAAATCAATTTATCCACAAAACTATTGCGCCATTTTGAAAACAAATTTTGCAAAAACATAGGACCATACAATGGGTCCTATCAGTACAGGAAAGGAGCGCGCCGGCGGCGTCGCCTCTGTCGCCCATGTGTTTGTAGAGAGCCGAGATTGTAGAGAGGGCCCAACTCAACCCATGGGGTGCGTTAGCAGTTTAATGGCAAACGCTCCCATCAGAGGTTGGTCGAAAATGCTTATGCGCTGCATTATTTCGGGGCTAGGACGAAAGCAGGCGAATAGGCGCAGACTCTCGCGGACGACGAACGCGTTCGTCCCTTGTAGCTCGTATTGCGAACGCGGCCCAGAAACCACTTGACCCAGATCGAGCAGTTGGAAATTTTCTGTAATACAGGCTCTCTAACTGCTCGCTGCCGCCTAGCGGTTGCCGCTGCCTACTCGGTCGGCGGGAAGCAATGGACCTTTTCCAAATACCGACGGCACCAGGCGGTGGCTGCACGAACTAAAAATCGAGGAAGTGACCTACCTGCGCTACCATTGATAATGGGAGCTACGTTACCAGTTGCTTCGCTCTCTGAGCAGCGTCGCGTGCCCAACGCAACGAGATAGGCCTAACGCGACTTTAAAAAGGGAAATCCGTAGCGTCCACTCAAACGTTGTGTTTTTCTTTCCGTACACTTTCTTTTTTTGTGTACCACAATTATATATATGCTGCAATTACGTGTTCTACTCGTCGATTTACAGCCTCATTCCGAATTTCCTTGAATTTTCGTGCCGACTTCCACCGCTTGGCATCGGGCGCTCGCGCGTGCGCAGAACGCTTCTCGGAAAAGGTCCATTCACCCCCTAAGTTATGACGTCACAACATGGCGCTCCTCTCCAAAGAAGCCGTTGCTATGGGCGTTGTTATGGAGAATTGCACAAGGGTTTCACGTGAGGTTAGAAATTTTCTGTTAAAAGGTAAATAATTTATTTGTTAGCATTAACTATCTCATGGAGCGAACCGGCGTTATCAGCTTTCGAAACCGCTCCAAACGGCACTTAAATGCCCCTGTCCCATGGAGCGAAGCCCGTAATCTGTAGCAGCGAATTGATGGATAAATTCTCAATGACTGCCGCGCGTCATATGGGGAATTCCACTCGTAGACCCGCTGCGCTTTCGTAGACCCGCTGCGAGGGAGGCACAATTCCGCACCGGGGGACCCGCTCCGAATCGACGAGGGGAAGATAAACTAGCATCTTTGGAGCGACCTCCCCTACACCCCTCCCCACCGCATCCCCCTCCGCCATTCAAAATTGCGGCTGCTCGAACTTGACAAGCTCAGTAACGCCTCAGCCTACTGATCTTTCCGACGACCAGTGACAACTGTCACGGCTTAGCTGCAGAAATGACACGCGACACAAGTCGGGCGAAATAATACGCACCACGGCGTCCATGTCACAAATAACGAAGACGTCCGCGTTCGGCGCCGTCACGTACCTTTCGGCCGCCTCGAAGCGGCGGGGCACGGACAGTGATTGCCAGCGGTGGAGTCCAGATTTATGGTACGACTTTAATAAACACAGAGGTAACAAATCATCACTTCCACCTAATCGTTGCCTAATCTCTTCTTGCTTTAATGCACGGAAAAACGCCGACGGAATGCAGTGTAAAATGGTAAAGGATCATTGGCTGCAGAATGAACAGGCCTAACCTTGCGTCTGCCTCCGGCTTTTCTGTCGTTTTTTTTCTCGTTCTTCCTCTAACGATCACAGATGTCAGCGCTTACGATTTACCACGCTCCACAGTCCCGGCTTTGTATCCACGATATGCACGAGGTAGAAGCATTCGAGTCGTCACTATCCCGCGTAAACAACCGACGCACCCGAACAGATCCAACTCGACGACCCGACCGTGGCCCGACCGGCCCGCCAACCTCTCCAACCTCGCCGTGCATGCGGACTGCCAATTTAGAAGAAAATCACGAGGGCCGCTCTGTCAACTTCCGGAAAGATGTGTGAAATCCCGCAGAGCAAGTTGGGCGGGGTTTGAGGCGCTCCGTGGAGCGGGCGCTGCCTGAGATCTACGAGCGGAAGATGACCAACTCGAGCCAGATATGCGAGCGGAATATGCGCGCTTCATATGAAGCACTTTTGGAGCGCTCGAGATCTGCGAGCGGAATTCATCAATAGTTTCAAGGAACGCCACCCCACAGAGGAGCCTTCTCCATGACGCTGGGACCCTCGCCGAGAGTTCTGCTCCT